GTAGTTGTAGCATTTACTTATTGAATCTGAGTACGATTCTAACAAGCTCTTGTCGAAAAATTGATGCCGAGCAAGACCTCAATAACTGTCCGTCTTATCACTCTCTGGCGATGGTGACTATGTTAAAATATAATTTAAGGGCAATGATTATAAAAAATCTTGTATTTGTTGTCTGGCGTCACCGGATTATTGCTTCAGATGGATTTTAACGTATCAGTGTTATCATTAATGTATTTAAAAAAAACAATACAAAATAAAAGTCTTGTGAAGTTTATGAAGCAAACTTAGCTTATTCTTTATAGTTATCTTAAATCTGAAATTAAAACAAAGTTAGAGAATAATAGAGAAAGAAAAATAAATGCATAAATATTTATTACTTGTCCTTGAACTAGAATTGGATAGTAATGCATGGTCACCGTAATTCTTCACTAAATTATGTTTCAAACTATTACCTGTGAAAATATAACCCACAATCAGTATAACACTGCTTCGGCAAGCCTTCACGATACATTTTTTTTTCCATTTTAACTAAATAAACTAACTTTCCTTTACAGTATTTAAATTGGACTTATAGTTTAGAAGGTATCGCGAACACAAACCATCAGGGTAAACGAAAGATATGCGCACAACAACCGGGCTTAGAAATTTGGAATCTTGCATCGGTAGATTTCTGTTATGTAGATTACCTACTACTGAGTTAATACTTTAGGTAATAGGTTAAAAAAAAACATACAGACGAATTGAGTACCTCCTTCTTTTGGGAAGTCGGTCAAAAAAGGAGCGAACGTAAGTTTTGAACTTCCAAATTTCACGCGGACGAAGTCGCGGACAACAGCTAGTATTATATAAAGAAAAGGTTTTTGGATGTTTGTATTTATTGAAATAACTCAAAAACGACATGGCTGATTTCAAAAATTCTTTCTTATAAAGCCACGTTACCGCTAAGTAAAATAGGTCATATTAATACATTTGGACGATATCGCGAGAAATGGGTAGCTAGTTTACATTTTTAAAATGTAATTGTTGTATGCATATAACACCAGAAACAAAAATATGAACGATGACGATATCAAATACTAGCTGTTGCCCGCGACTTCGCCCGCGTGAAATACATATATACGCTATGTTACTCACAGATAAATTACCTTTCTAACGGTGAACAAATTTTTAAAATTAGCCCAATAGTTTTTGAGTTATTTCAATACATACTAAAATCCAAAAATACAAACCATTCCTCTTTATAATATTATTATGGTGTAGTATAGATGACGGCTCATAGAGTTGTATGGGAGAGCAGCACATACAT